CCCCAAAAAAAACCCCAACAACTCAACCCAAAACCAGTAGCTTCACATCAAGCAACAACTCAAGAAACCCAGAAATGAAAAGCAAAAGAACAGTCATTACTTCATTCTCTGCAGGTTACATAAGCCTTCCACATATTTCTGAGTTTTGCAGGTAAAATGATAACAATAAAATGTTTACAAAGATTTACAATCTCTTAATTTGTCACTTATGCAGCTTTGTAAGATACAAAGGAAACTGCTGTCATTAGGCAAAACTACTATTTTTACATTATTACATTCTGCACTGCCTTTTTCTATAATGAACCCCAACAGCCACTCAGTCAATTCTTAGACCACACTTCCGATCACCTCAGGTTATAAGCATATATATTTAGGGGGAAAACTGTGTAAATTGCGGACTGCCACAGCAATTTCAAAACACAATCAAGGAAAGAATATGAAATGGCTGACTATAACTTCTATACTGTTATGACTAAATATCAGTTCATAAAAGCAAAATGTATTTATATTTAGATCTTCAAAGTATTTTATCAAATATGGTTTCAAAATAGTAATTTAAGAAGTTTTCGCAAGTTCTCTGCATTGCAGTTCCTTTGACTGTGGATGCCCACTTTTGAAGTGCTTTATGATCGCAATGTTACAAAGCCACTTTGAAAACCTTTATTTATTACTAACCTTGTGATAAGCCCTGTTGATCAAATGGCTGCTGTGTTATAGCTTGTTGTTCAAATTGCGTGATGTTTTCCTGTAAAGCATGCTGGGATGTCACAAATCTATCTGAAAAGCAGAAAGGAAGAGGAAGGGGAAAAAAAAAAGGAAAAAATATAAAGAAAAGAAGATGTAATTAATGGAATAATTCAGTTGTTTCCCAAATCTCACATTTTATCATCATCATCTGAATTTTTATTGCATTAAATATAAATAAAAAATATTAGCTAGACAGGTATTTAAATCTTTGCATATTGCAGGCTTTATCTATACACCTCTGCAGTGCTTGCTAACTCATTACATCATGAAATAGAGCAAGCAAGCAAAAAAAAACCAAACAAAAAACTGACTTTGTTCCACTATCACTAACAGAGTATGTACATTAAATATTTTGTATTCTCCGACCTCAAAACATAGGTATTACACTTCCTAAGTAGATTATGTATCAGTGCTTTTTATTAATAATAGAGGTGATGTGGTAAAGTTTTGTACACACAGTATTATTTTTCCATGTATTCGTTTAGTAGTTTTGTTTGATACAACTAAATGGTGCAAATCTTAATCAACCATTTTATATTTTTAACAGCAGATCTAAACACCAATGAATGAAAAAAATTGCCCAGTATAACTTCAGTAGTTAACTTTTACTCCATGTATTTTTCTAGTTGCTTACTTATGTTATCTTGAAAACAAAATAATGGAAATTTGTGAAGAAAAATTTACTTGAGAACTTGTAAACTTACCTCATTATAAACCTATCATAGTTCAAATACTCACCCTCATCTTGCTCTAAAGGCTGATCAGCCAACTGCTGTTCTAGTGCTGTTTCTTCCGTGCCCACTACTGGCTGCTGGTCTAACTCTAAAATAGCCTGCTGATCTGTTGCAACAGCTTCTGGCTGCTGTAGCTCATCAGTTTCAATCTCCACTTGCATCTGTGTAGAAACATGAATACTCTGCTGATCGACTGTAGAATCATCTATTGAAGCAGACTGCTGATGCTGCTGAAGTTGCTGTGCAAGTTCATATCTGCAAAGAACAGTAACAAGGTCTTTTCATGCCTTCAGTCAGACAGTTAACCTAACTATTTATGTGAACAAATTTTTATTATAAGTCATAATTTACTATAACTTCAGAGTGACCTAAATGTTTGCTACCCACAATAAACATCCTTATTCAATTATTAGCATTTGCTACAGAGCAAAGCTGTCTTTCCAAGTATCTTTAAGGAACAGCTACTAAAATACATTGAAGGATTCATATAAAAACTGTAAACATACCTATGTGTCTTCATGTGTTTTTTACAGTTTAGTGATGTTTTGAATGTTTTTTGACAATACGGACACATGTACGGTCGAAGGTCATTATGGATCCCCATGTGTCGCCTGAGGCTACCGCCAGTAGTGAAGGCCCCGTTGCATATAAGACACTTAAAAGCTTTCAGTCCAGTGTGTGTTCTAATGTGTGCTTTCAGAACTCCAGCTGACACAAAGCCTCTTCCACACTGAGAGCACTTAAACGGCTTTTCACCAGTATGTGACCTTTTTAAGAGAAAGCAGAAGTTAAAGTAGATTTAACTCACAAAGTTATTGAAAGACTAAATTTAAAAATTAGTTTAAAATAAAGCACATTAAGGTGACTGATGGAAGAGGCCTCAGTTAACAAAATCCAGAAATTAAAGCTTTAATAAATTATAAACAACCTGCATATCATCACTGGCAGAGCAAGAAGCAATAGTGTCTGACAGTTTAAATTATGTTCTACAGTCCAGTCTCCTTTTCTGATCATACTTCGCCTGGATTAAATGATTTGGGTTGAATTTTTCCATGCCAGATAACATACTAGTATATTACCTTTCACGTTTATTTTCCTCAATTCAGCTAAATCAATGTCTACAGAAGTCTGGAGAAAAATATACAGTCCTCCTCATGTTATACACTACTACTATGTTTAATAATGAAACTTTGGGGACTAAAACTGTGTTCATCTTTAATACCCCCTGAACAAGGCACAGTGCAACTACTACTTCAGCCTGCTATGCAAAAACAATATTCAAGTGCGGAAACTCTCTCACCTATACTATCAGTATGTCCTGCTCACTATAGCATCCCAGGAGTAAGAGCTAAGAGGAAGGCAATGTGAATGCTAGGAAATGGAAGATAAAGGAAGCAGGATATAATAAAAATGAGAAGAGTTAGGGATGGCACACGATAACAGTAACTTTAGAAGTCTATGACCACCACATCATATGCCATAATAAAGAAGTGACAGATATCAACATTAGTGTTTTGCTACCAACATACACCTATGGAAATCAGTGGTAGGATATACCAACTCTTCCTTGGTGTGCCTATTCAATCACTGCTCTATTGAAAATAGTCCTGCTACAAATTCCCCAGTTTCAGAAAGGAAAACAAGCTTTCTAAGCAATGATCAGCAATGTTTGAGAACTCGACTAAACGTCAAGCTCACTGCCTGTAAAACTGCAACCTGATCTAACTTTGAAGCTATGCTCTCTTTTGAAAACAGGGTTGGATTAGTTACCTCCACTGGCTCCCCTCCAACCTAATTTCTTCTTTGACTCCAAGACATTGTGGTAGTAACTAACACCCACTACATGGATCTTGAACTGAACTTCAAGCCACAAAATGATCCCCAAGAACATTTACTCAGTTACAATGTAAGCCTAAATTATTTTAAGTTTAGTACACAGAAAACAGCACACAATAAAGAGCTAATTTCTTTCCAAAAAGTAAGAGTTACATACAAAGCAGATGATCTGGAGTATGCAATTACAAAATTACAAGAATAATTCACGTGCAATGCTTGCTATTATCTCTACGTTGCTTAGGAAAAAAGTTTGAGTGTTAATAAGCTAAACTGCACACTAAACATGATCACTTGTACTGCTACGAATAAGTCAAAAGTCTCCTCCAACTTTACCAGAAAAATCAGTTTTCACTGGTTCACTACTTATAGATGGTAAACAAAAGAAGTATTTTCAGTGAATACTATATAAATTTCATGCTTTTACATAATTTATTATTTCATGTATTTTCTTTCTTCTTTGTATTTATTTTACCTGATGTGTTGTTTAAGATGACAAGATTTTTTATAGGCTCGATGGCAATAAAAGCATTTGTATGGTCTGTCTGCATCATTCACAAAATTATTATTAAAATAATTTTGGAAGAACTGGCTATTCCTTGGGATTGGCTGGATAAGACCTGTACACAAACACACACACAAAAAGAAATAATTAATTGGTTAAGTTATTCCAAAGTTGCAGTAGTCTGAAGAGTTAGTATTTGAAAAGAAAAAAAAAGACTAAACTTTTAGTATGCAAGAATACAAAGAAAATGAGCATGTTTCCAGCACTTACTTAAATTTATGCATGCATCTATTCAGCGTTATATATATTATATTGGACACGCTATCTATTTTAGCAATAGCTCTTCTTTTATCCATAGGTCCACCTCGTTACATTAAGCCTCACATAGGTCCAAACTAAGCATTAAATTTAAAAAAAGTTGACACTTACAAATTCACTGCTAATCAAATAATATTTTGCTCTTCCAGCCTCTTTAACCAAGTGACATTTAATCAAGGTACCAGAGATATTCATTATACCTTGACAAATATTTTATGTGCATTTTGTGAAAAGTACAAAACATCCTGATATAAATCTGCCTTTAATCAAAAGATATTAAAAAGTCTATTAGAAATTGTTGCATTTGTACATCATTTACTTTGATTCATCAGTCAGTGCTGCTAATTCTCTGGGTACCTCCAAAACTTTACTGGGGAAGCGGGGAGGGGGGAACCCTCAAATCAACTTATTTAAACAAATCCTCTTTATCCTCTGGTCCCTGAAGTCAGTCAAGTGTAGTTTTGGAAAATCAGTTACAACTTCCCACTACCAAATGCCCAAGTGCTAATGCAAGAGTACACTGTCTCAGAAGCGGACAACAAAAAGGGCATCACCATAAACACTGTGACAGAACGGGAACAGTAGCAGACTTCTCAAGTCAAAAAAACCTCATCCTTATTCGCACATCTGTGAACTCAGAAGTACTCACCATAATACTAATATACAAGGTTGAGGAAGTGATGCAAAGTTTCAATAAATATGCAAAAGATCTCTTTATGGTCCTAAATATTCACTACAAAAGCATTTTTTGTCATCTTTTCTTTCCTCAGACTGTTTCATCTAAAATGCTATAGTTCATATTCAGAAAGGAAAGCCCAAAGGGTTTCTGCTGACTTCCAAATGTAATAAAAAACAGCAGAAGTCAAGGAGAGGGAATTCTCTCAGTTTTGAGGAGATGGCAACAATGAAAAAAGAACAAGTTAAAAGAACAAGTTGATCTGTCTCAGGCTTGAAAAAGTTTATGCATACATATGCATGTCATACATAGATGTATTTATAAATACATATAAGCCAAAACTTCCTTCACTATCCCATCTAAGTCAGTTGGTCTAATAAAAACATTTTCTCTTAAGAAAACAGAACAAAACAAAAGCCAAACCAAACCACCCACAAAAAACCAAAACCACAATCCTACTTTCTAAACTCCTTCTGGCATTCTTCTGTGACGATAATTAGTAGCAGTGTACAGGAGAGGACACAAATCTTCCAGATCAGAAAAGAAGGAACTCCATATGACAAATATTTACTCTCAGTTATATTTGACCATATAAAAGCGTAATAATTCAGTTAACTCTTAGAATGAATGACAGCTGACTAACTTGTGAGTATATCCCAGGGTACAATGGTTCTGGTCTGCAGAAACTCCTAGCATATATAAGAGAACAGAAGTAAAGAAATTCCTATTAAAACACTTCCAAACTACTTACTCAACCTGTTCAACTCAGATAAATGAAACACTTCTCCAGACTGTAAGAATAGTATAGAGTAGCTCTGCATTGGATATAGCAAGTCAGCAAAATAGTTCTGAGTGGGAACATTCTATAAAAAGGTATTTTTCCTTCAACACGTTTTCCAGGTGTTATCAGTACCTGTAAGAAACAACTTTTATAGTATTCCTGTTAATACTAACTTTTTTCCAACAAAACAGAATTTTACCGCACAGACCTTAACTCTACTAAAGTGCTTTTTTCTTTATAAATCAAAAAATAGGACTGTACCTTTTTTCAGGGTTCACTCCAGAAAGAAATATTGTGTGATCTGAATCTCTGAAGCTGTCAGCTAAGTTTCACTGCTACTTTGAAAATTTCTTATACCCAATACCAAAATAGCCACTACTCTTGTATGCAGTAATTCTTGGAAGCAGTGAAAGGAAGAGGATTTTTAAAAAGTGATGAAGTTTTTAGGCTAAAGATATTACCAATACAACATTCTACTACATAAAGATGACTACACAGCAGACAAGGCAGGGGTTAGCAGACTGGTCAGTCAAACAACAATGAAGAGTAAACGCCTTGCCCACTACATTGATCTCTACTGCACAAGAAGATTTATTGTCTTGATTGAGCAGTACAACAACTTACCTTCTTCCAAAAAGTGGTTTTACATAAGAGTGTAACAATTATTCTACAACAGAATTGAAATAACTGTATGAATTCTCTATAGCACATTCCAGGATTATCCTGCCCTTTTTTGAAAAATTACCAATGATTACCACTAATTCAGCTGAGGTCACAATTATAACAAACACTAAAATCATACAGCACACTGACTCACTAATATATGTAATTTGAATAAACATAATCATCTTAAGAAGGATCTGGGTCATGAATTGTCTGTCATCTTTCCTATACCAACACTCCAACAATAGCTAAATTAAAGTCCTCTCCTAATATAACGTAAAAATGCACACACTTTTTCTTTTTGTAAGGATTATACCATTTCACTGTAAATAAAAAAGACTTTTCTTACTAATTCTAGTGCAAACAAACTGTAAAATACGGCACTTTTCTGAAGCCTGATTATTTCTGATGACTTATTTCAAAGTGTATCTGAGTAAGCTCTGAATGTGTTTGCTTGATTAAACTGTGACCTGTATTTTCCACTAAAATCCAAATTTTAAGACAGCATGTATTACTCGCTCTTTACCTAAATCAGTTATGAGTATGGGCTCTTGCAAAGGTATGTCTGGTACTGGAACACTTGTCTTTCCCACTCGAACTTTCGCAGGTTTACGTTGATGTCGCAGCTTTCTTAGTTCAGTATGTTTAAAATGCGAAGCGATATGAGTTTTCCGGTGGCCCGATGTTCTAAACTTTTTGTCACAGTGAGGACAAGCAAAAGGCCTAACACCTGCAAAAGATTAAAAAAATTTAATAATATTAGTTTGGGATTTTATTTCCAGCACCCTAGAAATGTAGCTTTGGAATACAGATTCTCTTTTCTGTATTTTTCTTTCTATCATGTTGTTTATTGATAAATAGGTTTTCAAAACAAATCAACAAAATTCAATCAAAAGTAAATATGAAGTTGCTGAACTACTAACAGGTTGTAACGCATCAGTTTCAGCAAGTTTGTTATCAGAAAACTGGATGATGCAAAAGTGACAGCAATTTTCAAAGGACTCCAACAGCTAAGAATTGCAGATAGCAGGTCAAATGGCCTTCCAAAACAGACTGTTAAAAACCCGTGAAAATAAGAATCAGCTAACACATAGGTAAAGTATATATAATAGAAATAAACCAGAGCAACGGTAATGAGACAAAGTTGAAAGCAATTCTAGATCAATCTCTGAAAATGTCAACGCTGATGACAGTCAAAAAAGCAAGCCAATAGGAATCGTTAAAGAAAGGCTTTTGCAATGCAAAATCCAGTAGAAATCTCTCCTTGGAAAGGAGAACTTGGTAATCTACACAGACAGGCAAAGCTGATGAACTTTCAGTTTCAGCTCAAGGGGAAATCTTGGACCTGGAAGGCTAGGAAACACACCTGGGTATTATGAAGAAAGCTCTATAAAATGATGGGGGAAGAAACGCACAAGAAATAAGAACAAACCATTCTTCACAATACAGTAACTGAAACATCATATGAAAACACTGAACAGAATACTTAAAGCACCAGAAAGTACTTTACGCAATATGCAGCTCAACACTTGAATTCATTATGTTAGGTTGTTCTAGTAGTGAGTTCACATGGGTTCAAAACCAATTTGCTAAGTTTTTTGGAACAAAAACCTACAAAGTGCTGCTTAGTGCAGGGGTACAGCCTACTCCATAAAGCCCTCAATCCCAAGATTAGCAGAAGACAGTTGCATGCTGCTAAGAAGCATTACTGCAGGCTTCCCCTTTTCCTTACATTGTTATCAGAGACAGCACATGGGGCTAGATGAACCTCTAACCTCACCTAGTAAACCCAACCAGCTGCCAGGGGAAGAAAAAGATCTCTGACAGGAAAAACAAGTGTGCTGAGCAATGGCTTAGTTGGCCTTCTAGTTACTATGAGAAGTAACCACACAGTCCTGAGTGATGCAGTGAAATTATCAAAAGGTGTGGGGAAGGAAAGAAAAGATGCAGCGTAAATATGAAAGATGACTGGGCATAAGTAAAATCAGAATTCAAATTCTGAGAGTATGACTCTTCAGAAAGCACAATTAAATACACTCACAATAGTAATATTAAAAAGGAACAACAGCTGACTCATCATCAGAAAACAATGTCCACGGCTTTGGTAAGAGCCCAAAGTTTCAAAGCCACAAAATGCTAGAAAGTTACGACAAAAAATTAAGACACTAAAAATGGTTCATTCTCTGACAGATACCAATGATGTGACAAACATCTCTACAGTTTGAACATTTCACATTTTCTTTTTTTAATTCAAGGTCTCACCCACATCACAGAAAACACAAAAGCCATTTTGAGGCCTTACCTGTATGCAGACGAATGTGAACTTTTAAACTCCCTGAGGTGGAAAAGCATTTCATACAAAATTGGCACTTGAAAGCTTTAATGCCAGTATGTGTTTTGATGTGTGCGGTCAGAGTACTCTTCACAGCAAAGGCGCGGAAACACTGGGGACACTTGAACGGCTTCTCGTGGGTATGAATGCGAATATGGCGCACTAGATCACTTGGTTTTTTAAATTCTTTAGAGCAGTATGGACAAACGTGCCATCTTATTCCATTTTCTTCACGTATAGAACCTAAAACAAGGATCGACATCAAAATTAATGTCTTTGAAACATTCAAAGAGTTCTGCGAAATTCCGCTACTCCAACACCATTGTACAAAGCAATCAAAACACATTTTGCAAAACAGATGCCATTACAATACACTTTGTAGACAATCAACTTCTCTATCAGGTACACTCTACTTCACAAAAACAGTGATGGGCTAGAACGACAAAAACAAAACTCAAGAGAAGCCAGTTGAAAGTCACACATTTTTATTCTACTAAAAAAAAAGGTAAAAAATGGGGGAGGAAAGCTAAGAAATTCTTGACTTCACAGAATAGAAAGAACGCAGTTTGTAAGCTGCTTAGAAATAGAGAATGTAGTTGTAATGCAACTTACAAGGTAACTTACAAGTACCATATCTAACACAAAGTTATCCAACAACGAATTTAATTCCTCAACCATAACCACATCGAATTATTTCAAGTACTAAATACTTATCTAACTGGAGGAGATACTTTATATGGCCCTCTCTTCTGCAAATTCAGACTTGAATTACATTTTGCACATTTTTAAGGAGCAAAGATTCCTTAAAAAGCCCTTCAGATTTATAATTTAAGGCTATTTTTTCACAAAAGCTGTTTTATGAACCAAGAACCCTAAGCTCTGTCCTAAAGCAACAGCATAGCTTTTCTCAGCAAAAATGACAAAAGAAGCTTCTAAATTTTATTGGGTTTTTTATTTGTATATGCTGTTCAGTATCAGATATTTGCTTGTTTAAATCAGTTCACACAGTGCTTTTTCTGTAAACCACATGAATACACCGAGGTTGTTATTTTATCAAAAAATAAAGGCAGTTGTGTTTGACTGTACAGCAGTGACCTTTCATTTTTATTTGCAGTCAGAAAGTTGTTACTGTTACACACAAGAAAAAAAAATAGTTACTAAAACCAGAGGAAAAAGTTAATGTTGATTTTTAGCACAGCTATGCTGGACAAGATGAGTTTTCAACTGTGGATCAATTTCTGCATCCCTTGCAAAGAAAAAGGCAACATCAATATACCTATGAAGCTACTGTGGACAGAGCTCAACAACTGCTTATTATAGAGCTGTCTCCACCAGGCCAGCCATTCAAATGTGACAGCTATACTTGGAACAAACCACCTCTAGCAACCTTAGAGCTTGAGCAACCTTAACAATAAAGTTGCATTTAAGTACAGAGACACAGTCCAGACTTGCATACACACAATACAGTAAGGAGGTGGAACATTAACATGCATTTATGGTGACAGTATCAATCCACTGCTGCAATTCCAAACACAGAGGGCACAAAGTATTATCGACAGTGCCAACCTTCATCCTTCCCTATGTGGCCTAGATCAGTGAAGAGCTGCACAAAGCAGCAGCACTGCACTTCTGCCTCTGCAAGGCCTCACTTCCAAAGAGGAAGAGTAGTGCTTGCAAGAACTCTCTGCTCTGGGACACACCATGAAAACCCAGTCCTTCTCAGGGGATAGGAAAAAGAAGGAAAAAGAGTCATATTACTTTTTTTCTGTCTTCTTCCAAAAACTCCATCAATCTAAATCCAGAAGATTTAACAGCGTAACTTCACTTACTCCCATTCCAGCATGTTTTTGTATTGGTATCATGAAAGTTATAAATGCTATTGATCGTAACTTATACACAAACTGTGTTTTAGATAAGAGCAAATGAAGTTTGTAACTCATCCACAAAATGTTTCGGAAAATCCTTTTTTAAAGCCATCAATACACTCAAAAATACTACAGTCCTTACAACACAAAAAGTAGCAAGCAGTGGTAACATTACCAGGTAAAAACGGCGACTTTTTCTTCAGAAGCTTTTTTTCTTTTTTATCCAGTTTATCTGTACTCTCTTGCTCCTTTTCTTGTTCTGCACTGTTAGAGTCAGCCTGGTGATTTGAGAGAGTCTGGATGTCTGCATTCTGATCCTGGGCCGCAGGTGTCTTGGCCTGACCGCAGTCAGTAGAGTGCGCAGAGACGGGAATCGAGGACAACCCACTGTTCTCTAAAGCTTGCTAAAAGAGAGCAAAAAGCTTCTAAATTAAGAAAAAAGCATTTCACAGTTGTGTCAACTTTTCTTAAACAACTACTTGGAAGACACAATACAATTATAATTAAAGGAATTAGATGTCTCATCTTCACAGAATTTCAGCTGGATTTCAAACTTGCAAAACATTCTCACACAACACTGACTTCTGACTGTTTTCTCAGAAAAGTGCCAATTGTTTCTACAGAATCAAGCATTTGCAAGGAACATACAGCTATCTCTTATGCTTACATGCAAGAACAGTTCCCCATAATGATCAATTTGAAGCCTGCTTGTGGAGAAGCCATAGATGCTATAAAGAAAAAGGAAGAATGCTAAGCCAAAGAAAGGCTCAGAAAAGCTCAAAGGCCTTAACAAACCACTGGCAACCATCAGACCAGAGGCATACACTCATTTCTATGTACACCTGAAAGGGACTGGTGTGTAGGCACCTTCATGGATACTGTTGTGTCTGAAAAGGCTCTCAAAGACCACAAACACACATTTAAGTAGGAGTGTGCAGATATTTGACTACTTGGAAGAAAACTACTTTTTATTTTTATTTTGTGTAACACTATAGCTAGTGATACTCATACAATAACTTAAAGAACCAACTTCAAAACCCGATTTTTTTTTAACAGGTATCACAAAAATAGTTCTATTTTGTATTATAATTTGGTGCAACTACATATCACATTCCTGACATTAAAGAAGTCCACACAGGTAACAGTGAACCAGCAATTAGCTAAATGTAACAGCTGGGTCTTCCAAAAAGAAATGTAAATGGTACTTAACAGACTGGAGAAGAAAAAAACAGCTCCAAGGTTAGCAGGCTACCACCAAGACTGAAGAATATTCTCTGCCTTGTTCCATTATGTGGTGGAGGCTGCAGAATAAGCACGGACAGAATGTGCCTATATCTCTCCTGTTACACAGCATCTCCTACTGCCAGTATCAAGGACAGAATAATGGGTTACACAAAACATTGGCCTGACCCAGGAAAGAATTTTCTTTGCACCAACTAGCCCTTATTATTTAGAACATGATAAAGGCTCTGTATGTAGTCTCATATTTAACCAGATAAAAGTATTTTTTTCCCCTCTTAAATGTCATGTTCTAAGTACAGCATAACTTAAGGATGTGCCACAAGCTGCTTCTAAGCAACATAAAAAAAAGTCAAAGGGATGAACAAAATGTCTATGTATGGGTACGTATATTTAAAGCTTTCTTCTAAGTCATGTAATCAATATTTATAATCTTGATTTTATGAAATTATACAAAAAGGTATCATGTTTCACTCCATGCTTGTTCAGTAGATCTTTACAACTCCTTCTAGACTGATAAATCATTCAGAAATGCTGAAGGAATGCTATTATTGAAAATACTGAGAACAAATTTCTATGAGAAAGAAACCACTGAAACGTAAAGCTGTTCTCACACACGGCTCTTACCTGCAAAATATCTCTGTTGATTCCCACTGCAATACTGAGTTGTTGGCCAGGTTGCTGAGGCTGGTTATTTTCTACAGGACTTGGTTCGGACAACTCAAGGAGCTGCTGGATGACATCAGTGACAGCCTGCTGACCCTGATGAGCAGTAGCTGAAGACACCTGGTTTTCTGTCTGTTGAAGAAGCGGAGACCGAAAATGTGTGGCCTGAAATATACAGCAGTACATTTGTAAAGGAAGATGAAAAGTATATGTGAACTGATCTGTTCGGCTCTCTTATCTGCAATGCCCATTAACTGTCCACTACAAGGATGTCCACCTGCACAGGACATAAAGATTACACAGAGGCGACATTCAAGGTCTGCTCACTCCACTAAGGAATTCCTTCCATATATCCCTTTTCTGGAGTTCTTTCCAACCTGTGTAACTGTGAGCTCACAGCTTGAATTAACTTTATTATAACTACTCAACCTTCAACGAGTTTAGAAAACACAGGGTTCAACTACTCAATCCCACATGTAGAGGACACATGAAGACTAATTCCAAAACAAATAAATGACACTGACACAGCTGTCTTTTTAAAGTTCACATTTAACTAAAGCAAGTCCTTTGGAAAAATAACTTTTTATTAGTTGAGATTTTACTGTATGAAATTATTTGTGTTGTTACATTACAACAGATACAACAGAACAATCAAGCTGCTTTTTCGATTCAACTTTCAATTTTCTAAATCTCTCAGCTTTAGAAGAATCTCTTTATCCTCTAAAAACTTAAATACACATGGAACTGTGTCAAAATACCATAAAAACCCTTAAAATTTAAATATCATATTTCTTAATCTTTGATTTAATAATTGTATCTTAGGCTACCTTAGTAACAGATAAGAAGAAAAAAAAAGTGATAAAAAGCCTTAGTACTTCTTTTTAAAAATAAAAAGTGAGTCCTCCTTTCTCCTGAATTTACAAACTTCTCTTCCTTATAATAAATAGACTGCATAAACATACCATTACTGAAGCAACTGCTTTCAGTCATTTATTTTACTGCAGAAAAGATAAATACTTATTTATAGAATGGCTAGCCCATAATTCTGTTTATTAGAAAGCACTGGATATTTGCTTCTAATATTCACCTCTGTTCTCCAAAAACAATCACTTCCAGGCATGCACACACAAACACACATTTATATAAAACTATCTGCTTTCAGATCATTTTTAGCGAAGAATAATCTTAGGCCTTGTGTAACTAATATTTCTTTCCATCTCAAAACTCCTGAGATCTTCTTCATACTAATACGTTACACTGGACAGTTAAAATCACCATATTCAAGGATGGTTACAAAGAAACATATTAAGAAAAATAAGCTTATATCCTGCAAATTTGATGAAGTATTCTTAATGCCTTCCCATCAGATGATATAAAACAAACCCTATTCTCATCTCTCTTGCATGCATGTGAGGACAGCGCTCGCTCTTTTGCTGATTTAACCATTAGTTCGTCTTTTTTTCACCTCACCAGTGGGACAGATGGAAAGACTCCATCTCTTCAGATTCCAATTTAGCAAAAGTGTTATTACCATTTCAAGATCTATTTTACAAAATAAAACACACTATATGACATTTTCATTACAATAAGCAGGAAGCAAAGCAGGAAGCAAAGTATTTTGCTGAAGAATGTAACAGCTCTTTATAGAGATCATTGATTTTCTTGAAACAGAATGCGGAGAAGCTCTTTAGCAGAATGGGAAGCCCACACTAAAAAGCCTATGAAATTCTTCCAGGCTTTAGCAAGAGAAAAAAAGATTGTTAATGAATTTTCATCTTTGTCATGACAATTGCAGTAATACGTGTATTTAGCCAGTGTGTTCACACATTCTACAGCAGTTCATACACAGTCTCATGGAGGTTAACTTTTTTGAAAAATATTATATACAGATGCATGCACATGAAGTTTGTTACCATTACTATTAAGATACTCCATTCATTATAAAACGTTTCAGAGGTCTCTTTGTAGGTCTCACTTCAATACTTGTTTTTAAAAAATAACAGAGAATGAAGTGCTTTATTATACTTCATAATTCCACATTTGTTCAGTTGGAATAGTGGACCTTGTGATCACTCTTTGTCTGTCTGATCTGCTGTGCAACATGGACCGCGTGACTGCTGAGTGAATTACTCCTTTAAGTAAAATAACTGTACAGAAATTATAAAAGTTCTTTAAATCAATTAATTTACTATGGTAAGTTTTTCCTGTTGCTATTCAACTTTAACAAGTTGATCCAACAGTAAACTGTGTACTGACAAAAAACTAAGTAGTGTAGGGTAAAGAATTAATTTTCAAGGGATTCCATCATAAACACAGTAACGATGGTGATTCTCTAAGTACCTCTTTTAAAAGTTATCTCAGAAAGTTTTTTAAAAAATCACTCATGCTGCCTCACATTAATTTTAATACATTGCTCTACTATCCCTGGTTTTAATCACGTCCATTGCAAGAAGGAAAAGGAACAACCATCAAGAATGCAACTAGCTCTACTAACAAAAATCTGACAAATGATGGAAATGGACCAGTTCTCCCACTTGGTAGGCAAAAGCACCAGGCAGTTCTGGGAGGAGGGGGCTATGGGATCCATTGCTCCTAACTGCTACCTCTCACTAGGGAAAAACCTGGCACTCTGCATCAAGTACAGGGAACAACACAATGTGGCACAACTGACGATTATCTTCTTTACAGACCTCTGCTTTCACACACACAGACACACACACAACTCCCACTAAAAGCCAGGCACCACTTCTGACACTCCTTACCAAGGAAAGTAATTTCAGTTCATTAAAAAAAATAATGAAAAATCTACTCAAAATAAACTGCTTTTGAAGAACAGCTCGGTTTACTATTTTTAAAAGTCTTATGATACATAAATATTCATTTAAAACAGCAAATATTAGATATTAATTACATCAGTTCTGTTCAGCTTTAAGTTAACTGGTCCTGGAACAGTGAATTCACAGTAAATGACAAAAAGTGGATAGACCGGTTATAGTGACATTAAAGCAACACTGCCACACTTCCATTGGGTCTGCAGATTCTAGTACAAGAGAAGATAACCAGTAGCTGAAGTTTGAAAGAAGAGAATGCAAGTTAAATTAGTCTGTCACTAAGACACCTATAGCTGGCAAACAACATGCTACACAGCTGCAACAAAACACGCTAACGCTCTCACTGCAACTGGTACATCAAGACCTGTTGGCCTGTACACCAAGACAGCTGCTATGGGGTTCCAGAAAGCCAGTCCTGCACCGTCCTTCCCCAGCTCCACTGCCTTCTCCTGAGCCCCATGGTTCTTCTGCTGCCTCAACTCCAAGCAACTCAACCAGCACCAACACAGATCCTTCCCTTTACACCCAAGCCATGGTTACCCCTGTGAAGTCAAATCAGAGGGGCAGGATAACACAGTATTTTTAAGAGTCCTTATCCTCCTCTGTTCTTTCTATACAGGAGAGTATTTGCCTCCATTCTGAAGAGCTAATGAACAGAATTATATGCAAAACTATGAGCATGTAACGAACAAGAGAATACAATCCACTTAAGACCTGCTTTACTCCTAAATAACAGGCTGAATTCACCAGGAAGTTTGCCTTCACATATGAGTTGATCAACTTATCACAGAAGATCACTGCATACTAAATTATGTAAAGTTTTTCCCACTTTAAGTCTTGACACAAGAATATGACAAAAACGTCTACACTTACATTCTTCCATTTGTTATCAACAGGTTGCAAAAGATTAGCAGGGGATGTTGTTAAAGGTTGGGTGACAGTGTCCTGCAAAGAAATACAAAGTATTTTAAGCGTCTGCACAAAAAGAAGAGAAACATGACTAATATTATACATAAAACTAGCACAGTCATTTTCATATAACTTCAATAGTTCCAGATTTCGTTGTTCCAACAAAACTTCACTATTATTTTTATGTTATATGGGGAGGAAACCTTTCCCACACACACAGACTGTAAGCATCACAATTACATTTTCCTTAGTCGTAGAATAAAATGTTTTATTTTCACCTAAACCATCAAACTGTAAATCTTTTTTTTGCATTTACTTGGCCAATTTATAATCTGCCTATATTTAATAAGGCAAATCTACTCTAAAAATAACACAAAACTTTGAAAAAGACAAAACACAGCTACAAAACTTTTAGTTCTGACCTATGTGCAAGATTACTGGAATTAAGATATAGATCTAATTAATCTCTTAAATGCGTTTTCACAAAGCTTACCGCTGTAACATGAGATACGTCTGTTGAAGAGCTTGCAGAATTCTGTGGACCACCCATATGCATCTTGCTGATATGTGTATTTAAGCTACCCAAGCTTTTGAAGACACAGCTACATTCTGTGCAGTTGTATGTAGGGCCATTCTTCACCTTCAATAAAACAGCAAAAGAGAATTACGTCATTTTTCCCTAAATCTACCAAATTTTATATTTTTCATTATTTATCAACATAACAAATATACTAATGGGTTTATGAGAGCTAAAATGGTTTCTTTTTCCAAGTTTCTGATACTCAGCTGTGGAATCAGTCCGGTGTATCCTGGATATCAAGTCAACTGTAATCTACGTGCATGACTTCTCCTATTCCCACTTCTCAACACTGGGAAGCATCAGAGAGCAAAACAAATGTCATCTGGCAAATGAGGCTTTAGACTTTTCCCTCCTTACAATTTCCAACCATTACACACTAAGAAACAAAACCGAAATGCAACTTTCATCAATTAAGAGGTGCCTGAAGATGTAACATCATACTTAATAAAAACTGAAGTTTGGAAATATGACGAGAAAAAATGCAGAAAATTTATCTTCAAATTTTGGCTATTCTGTTTACTTCTGCAAACTATCTTTTATAAATTTCCAAGAAAAAAAATAAAGGGCATTTTTCAAGTCAAAGTAGAATGAAGGTGAGACACACTGGGCCAAAGGCCATAGAAACTGCATGAAAAAAAAAACTAAAAACAAAAGCAAAAAAACCCAAAACCACTAAACCAAAAAGACCAACTCTGTGAAGGGCAGGGAAGTTTAAAATATAGTTTGAACTGAATATGAACACACAGGATGAGAAAGTGATCAGCAGCAACTTGTTTGGGACTTTCAGACCAAGGGGTTGAGGTAATGAAAGCAGCTAAAGTTGCAGATTTCAACCATCCTCACTTCCCCCTCCTGCTCCATCTATCACATGTAGCAAGAAGATCCATCCATCACATAGCATGAAGAAAGCACTACTAGTGCAGTGCTTTCAATATGTAGGGAACAACAATGTCTTCAAAAGTAAACACGCTACACTGCTTGCAATATAGCATGGAATTCTGTATTTTCTGACATTAGCTTAAACTGGTAACAAGACTTTCAGAAAGGAGTATCAACTAATAAAACACCAGTACAACGAAACAGTGATATATGAAGTGAAAATCAACCAGTTTCATTATCGCCTGTACTGTTATTTTGTGACTGGCTCAGGATAAAATGAAGAATTAACAGAATTCTGCATGCAGTCTTGCAGTAAACACAGTAACAGCAAGAAAGGAAAAAAAAAATTAAAAAAAATCAACTAATTATCCAAAGCAGTAACTTAAATGTAGGCTCAGGATCACAATACACAGTGTAAGACATCATCAAGAGGCAGCATTTATTTTAAGTCCCTTATCCTACAATCTTCTGGTTTCTTTTTCCTTACAGAAAAACAGAAAGAGAAAAAAAAAGTATTTTCTGCTTGATCCTCAACACTCCTGTAATATTAAAAAAAATCTACTTAAATTATGAAATTAATGTAGGTGCAATTTTTTATGGACCAAAATGATAAGTCATAGGGAGCTGTGAACAGTGAGGAATACTAGTCACACAAAGTCATGTGAAGTAGAAACATATGATTTAATATCATTAAGTGCAATACAAAACATTAAAACATATTCTACAAAGGACCATATGCTAAAAGGAAGTCCCTTTAATACACTAAAAAAGATCCTTATTAGAAAAATCCAATAAAGTAGATCTATCACTGTAACACAAAATGGAAAACAAGGAAATCTCAGAGTTAGAGGAAA